ACAGCTACAGTATCCCTCCCAAATCTTCTCCCCATTTGCTTCAAAATTCCAGTTTGGCCTTAACCTTTCACCCACTACATCTTCCTTTCCCTTGGGTATCTTTTTTTAATATATTAACTTCCAGAGAATCTCTCTTCCAATTCTATACCCAAACCACTCCCCACACACACTAGTAGCACCATTTTAAAACATCTTTGGATCTCAACCTCCTATTGTGCAGGGTCTGATATGTTGGGGAAGTTGATGCTCTAATTTGAGAATTAAATAGATGTCAAGAGCACAGCCTCTGAAGTCAGATAGACCAGTGTTCAAATCTGGGCTCTGCCACTTACTAGCTGTGTGACCTCAGGCAAGCTTCTAAGCCTTTCTGAGCTTCAGTTTCCTCATCTATAAATTGGGAATAGAGGCATTTACTACCTGGAGTTACGGTGAATATCAAATGAGATAAGGCAGGTAGAACACTTAGGACAGCTCCTGGCAACATCATTCAGCTCCTACGTGGCCATTATAACCACATTTTTCTCGTGTTTGGGGCTGTAGGGAGCGCTTTGGGGAAGAGTAAGGTGAAAGGGCAGAGAGGAGAAAAGAAGACTTTGTGGAGTTAGCCTTTCCCATCTAGCACAAATCCCAGGTGAAATCCAACAAATGAGTACCTTGTTGCAATCCCATTTCCAGGGGTGTCTGACCACCTCCACACCCTCACCAACCCACACATAAACACACACACACACACACACACACACACACACGCATAAACACGGGCGGGCCTTGACAGTTCTTTGACACTCAGAGGGTTTAAAATTTAAATGTCTTTGAAGGCAAGAGAAACACACCAAAATAAACACACCTCCAGCTCAGCAGAGAAAGGGAAACTTGGCAGGGGCCCCAGAACTTTCCCCACCCCCAGCCCTCCCTAAACTTCCTCTTGTGGTTTCTCAAGAGTACAACCTGTTCTCAACCTAGAGAACAGCGCCTGGGGCAGGGGGCTGGGGCTTGCTGAGGCTTCCATCGCACCCCACCCTATGATGAGAAGGAAGGAGGGTGTCCGTGTAGAGGAGTGGCCTAGAGGTCCACATAGTTCTGACCTTCACATCCTGCTTACCAGTGATATCGGTGTGGCCGCCCTCTACCCTCAACTCCCAGCATCAACACCCATCCCCCCAAACCACACCCCTCCCTCAAAGGCAGAGGCTAGAGGTAGTTTGACTGCAGGCAGAGAGGACAGCCTCTGGGCCTCCCCAGATCTGTTTAGAGGGCTAATGTGAGAAATCTAGAGTTTCAGAAAAGTAGTGGAAAAATGGCTGGAATCCATGGAACCTCTGCCCTGTGGCCCGGCTGGCATCATGGGCAAGTCCCAGTCTGCCTGGAGGGATGGGGTCAGATGCGTGGATGCAGCTTTGGGATGCAACAGCTGTGAGGAAGTAAGGTGTGCATCTTAAGATTGCTTCTACTCCCTGACCATCTTCCTTTTTCAGCTACAAAGCTGGATTGTTCCCCTTGGAATCTAGAATATGAGGGTCTCTGCTCTTAAAGATTCCCAGCAAAAGAGATATCTTGGTTTCCCATCTCCCCAGATTCTGGCACATCACCTCCATGCATCTTTCTTGCATGAAACCTTGGTTTGTTCCTCTTGGTGACTGAGGCTTACTCAGGAGAAAACACACACACACACACACACACACACACACACACACACACACACACA